ATTATAGTAGGAACGTCTACTAGTAGTAATTACGTTAAGTAACTTACGTAACAACTACCAACGTACCAACGTAAGAAAGTACGTCCTTCCTCCGACCGACGGCCATTGATTGGCCTGGGCAAAGGAAGCCTTTCTTTCAGTGGACTTTGGATTGCAAGATGACATCCATTGCAAAATTGTATGCAACCAAATGAACCTTACAAGCTTCCAGGTACTGCAGAGGCAGCAGTACTGAATGATGAACACCTACAACAGCAATGACATGTACTCTTAGGAACTTCGAAACCTTACCGAGCGCCACCTCCCCTGCGACGGCCATCTCGGCGAAGTTGTGCGAGAAGGTGTCGTTGATGCGCGCGACCACCTTGCGCAGCTGGGGCAGCCACTGGGCCTGCAGAACGGGGGTCCGGAGTCAGTGTCACAACTAACGGGCTAAGGATTACAAAGTTGAGAAGCTCGCGCGCATCAAGAACGATCGAGTTGCTTTCAAGACAGTGTCGTCAGAAGCGAACCTCCATCGGCAAGTCCCCAGTCTGCAGTAAGTTTATCCCAATAGAGCGGCAGGCAGTGCGGCACATGTTAGTCCAAAAGTTCGTGAAAGGGTCAAGGGGCGCAGAAGAAGTGTGAGGCCTCCGGGTTGCTGTACTGCGTAACAGAGCAAGTCCAAAAACTGTACGAAGTACATTACGGTCGTTTAATGCCGCGTCAGATGTTAATAACGGTAGAGGGAGCAGACTATCACTGTGAAGAATTCCCAATAATGGGGTGCCTTTTACCATTATTCCTAATGACCAAAGAACGCTCCGACGTAAAGCGAAGACCTTGAAGTGCCTCACCTTGAGCTCTTCAATCTTATCGTGCTTGCCGGCCTGGCCTGAGAGCTCGTCCTCCAGCTTCTCTTCCAGATCCGCAATCTGGAAGGAATAAAGAGAGCCTTTTTGTACCAAAAGGAAACAAACAATCAATCGTTTCGCGCCAGCTCGGAGACACAAACCCTCCTCTTCTAGCTTCGCCTCCAGATCGCAAATTGGTAAGGAGCAAAAGGAGCTGTAACCCTTTCGCATATCATCAGATACTCTGACGGGAGCAGGATCAGCGGGCAACTGATTGGGCACCTTTATGAAGAAAAGTTCGCTACATTGAGCAGTGAGTCATAATCAGCTGCTAACACCTGGGACTGAATATATCAATCCAAGTCGGTTGGTGCAATCGGTGTTCCCCCCAGAAATGCAGAGTTGAGGTGGCGCTAATTCAAATGTGCCGCTTTTCAAACTAATGTGAGGCTAAATAGCCAGTTGGGGCGGGTTGCCGCCTCTATACTACGAAGCAAAGTCAGCGTAACGTTCAGTCAAAGTTGCCGGCTCAGAAGCCGAAATAGGCTAGCCGGCTGGTGCAGAGAGCCAACTTTTTTAGAGACACAGATCAATAAGCAAGATTCGCAAAGATTTGAAATGACTGGTGACGTCAGGCGGCTCACGCTGCGCGCGCGCTCTTGGAACTCGCGCAGGACGTTGGGATTGTCGCAGATAATGCGCTCCGCCTCTAGTTTCAGGTCCTCGATGGCCTCGTCCAGAGCCTCAATCGTGTCCGGGAACTGAGCAAAGCAATGGCAAGAAAAGGGTTTGGCACAGATACAAGGACTTTTGGAGAAGAGTTTGGCAAGAACTTCGAAGATTGGATGAAGTGGGCGAGAGAACACAACGCGTGCTTCGGTGCGTTGGAGAAAGCAACGTTGGCAAAAGCTTACGATGCAAAAAACAGGCTTCCAAGGCGTTTCCGGAAAGAATGCGAGGGATGAAGAAACGGGCAAGCCAGGCGAGAGAACACAAGGGCGTTTCGCAGTGCCTGTTGAAGAAATTGGCAAATAAATTCAAACCAGGGTCCTCGGTTCCAAGCAGCCGAAGGTCACCAACGGCCTCGGGATGGCAAGACAAACGGATCGGAAATTTCTTTGTCGCGGGCTTCCGCAAGTACTGTTGCATCCGCTAGGCGGCATTACCTTTCTGTCTAAGCATAAGCTCAACTTCATTACAAGGACTTCCTACATAAACAGAGTGTCGTTCACATTGCTACGTAATAAGAAAGTGCGTCTCAGTTGCTGCAAGACCCACCTTTTCCCAGGCTTCGTTGTGAATACCGGGCTCGCACACCGAGTGGGCGTAGGCCAGCTTCTCCTTGAGGGTGTTCTTTGCTTTCTCGTACTGCGCCTTGTCTGAAACGACGTCACGGTTCGAGAATGAGTAGCGTGCCAGCTGCGACTGATCTCAATAACTCTGCTCTCCAACGTCAGGAATTTGTGTCAGACGCATGATCCTTGAAACGAATGCTAAGAACCTTCTTGCACCTTCTGACATGCCAATCAGCATCAAGTAACGTCTTCCGTCGATCAGGGATAGATCATTCCGACGGCTAAAAAGCGGGCAACTTATGAAGCCCGTGGCGTTAGCCTTTTGACGTATCGAACTGGAGCGAATGTGGGTCAAGCGTCGGACGGGAGACTCACTCCGCCGAAGCTCCTCCTCGAGCGCCACCACTGCCTGGTTCTGCTCGTCAAACTCTTCTTGCAGCCTGTTTACCTGTGAAAAACGAAAAGCCACCGTACAAACAGTCATTACATGATGGTACGCAGAGCCGACCCAATTGAGCAAGCACTGTACAACTTGGGAAGACAAAAGCGACGAGTGTGTGTTCTTGCAATCACCGAGCTGAATGTGAGATGGGTCGGAGACTGAAGCCCGACCTGATGGGGAGACCTACAGCCCACCTAAAGCCCAAAGTCCTGACGTCTTGTTTGAGCTCGGCTCTCCGGAGCGCGAGTCACCCGCAGTGCTCTACACACAGTCTTTTGTCGAAACGCACACAGTTCCTGGATACGGAAGAGTGACGTCTTCCTCCAGCTTCGCGGCGTCAAACACCAGGCCGCTGTCCCGCGTCTGCGCGTCGACCATCTCTTGACGGGTGCCAACCTTTCTAAACGAGAACCCCAGAAACTTAAAAGATTAAACACTGAAAAACATCATGTTTGATGCACTCACGTCTTCCTCCAGCTTCGCGGCGTCCAGCACGAGGCCGCTGTACTGCATCTGCGCGTCGACGAGCGCGCGGAAGGTGTCCCGCAGCGCGAGAGCCTTGGTGAAGCGCGCGTCGTTGAGCGCGGCAATGTCCGCGCGCAGCTTCGCCTCGGCGCGCTCCACGTCCGCGGGCTGCGCATACGATGCGACCTTCTTGCGCCGCATGTCTGGAAGCAGAGCAAAGAACTTGAGCTTCATTTCTTGTGGTTGTATGCTTTCATGGCTTCCGGCTTTTTAAGTACGCGTATGATTCCATAGCGCGAGATGTCGGCCGCTGAGAATAAGCTCAGCGTGCTCCACGTCCGCGGGCTGCGCAAATGACGCGACCTTCTTGCACCGCACGTCTGGGAAGAGACCGTGCGACAGTTTTTGCTTTGGTTGTTTGGTTTGTTGTAGGAATCGTGCTTTCACGTGACTTCTGTGGACACCCGCCCTTGGTGTCAATCCGGAATGTCAGCGAGTGGCCTCGACTCGGGGGACACCTCGGCGGCGGGCTGCGCAAGTTACCTGAGCCTGCATGCGAGTCGCGCCCGCAAGCACACACACGAGAAGTTGTTGGTATCTCGTACTCTTCGTTTTGCTCTTTGTTAGTTGCTTCTCAATGCTAGTGAGGAACTCTAAATGAGGCCTTCTTCAAGCCTCAACTCAATGAATTGCATATAATATGGACGGCGGCGTACCTCGATAACTGGAACAAACAAAAACCTGAAAACCAAAAAGGCCCCGAAAGCTTCAAACCTCTTAGCAAAAGGTTCTGTTTATAACACAAGGGATCCGTGGGTCTCTTGGGCAGGAACTGAAGGGTCAGCTACTTGATACCGCGATTCTGTATGTTTGACGTTGATCAGCATCTTAGACGGTAATGAGCAGCACCCGAAAGATTCCGTGTTTTAACGAGCTATCTTGAGATAAGCAGCCCAGCTCACCTATCTTGCGCTCCAAGTCGGTCCTTCGCTTCTTCTCTTCCTGATTCTTCCTTACCAGAGTCTCCTGCAGAGCACAATGGACATGTGATATTAAGGCTTCAGCTTCTCGATCAGCGTCATAAGGGGGAGTCACCGAAATTTCTGTTCTCAAACCTCCAGTTTTTGAAGTCTTTGTCACATCTTCTCACCCTTTCCGCCCCGCACACTCTCATCGACAAGATCCAAAGGACGATTGTATCGTCGTTGGGCAACACGTAAAACTGGAGGAAGGCTGAGGAAGGCTGAGGAAGTTGGGTGGATTGACGCACCCGCTGACGGTTGAGCTCGGCGACCGCTCGCTCTAGTTCCGCCTGCTCTCGCTTCAACTCGACAACTTGGGCCTCCTTCTGCTGCACGCTCGCAAACAACTCTTGCTGCTGCTGCTTCAAGCCGGCCAGCTCGTTCGTGTTCACACCTGGATGAAAAGACTCTGCTTAGATGCTTGCTCGAAACGGCTTTGGGTCCCGTTCCGTTGCCCAACTGTCAGAACTCGCGCTCGGTAGCGGGAATCGCTTCTTTCTCATCTCGTCCAACGTTCTCGAGGATGATGGTAAACTACTATGACATAAAGAGGTAGAATCGGGTACGGGGCAGTTGCACAGGACCCGACAATGTAGGGGATAGAATGGGAAGGAAGGGAGTTTAGTTTGTTTTCCATACTGAGAGAAGATACCAGCGAGAAAGGGAGATATCTGCGATAGACGACCTCAACGTGAGCCTGTGTGCCGAAACTTCTTATAACACTTGTGCCAAGACTTGTAAGTCCTTGGTCATACACAACCCACAATTCTTGGCGGACTGACAACTTATCGCACAGCCTCGAAACCTTAGAAGGCGCACGGTATTCTCCTCGACGTCCGTACACTTGAGGAACAGGCGCTGCAAGGTACGAAGCTCCATGCTTACCTTCGGAGAAGAGCTTCAGCGGCCGGAGGGACGACGCGTTGGTGGAGCGCGCGTCGGCGTACTTGGACCGGGTCGTCCGCAGGTGCGTGTTGGGCAGCCAGATGTCCTGGATGCCGAAGTGCTCGACCACCTGTTGCGCGCTGTCCTCCGCGCGCTCGTTGCCGAAGTACTGCGAAAGAGAGCAAGGGGGAAGGTGTGACGTCATACTGTCTGCAATGATGACGTCAGCAGCCACTTCAAAAAGCCCGGCTTCGTCCTCAGAACACGATGTTCAAGGCGCGCAAAGACAACGTATCTCTAAGCACCGTGGTGCAAGAATAGCTGGAAGACTTCTCCACACAGTCCATCACCTAAAGTTTGAAAGCAGTCCAAAAGAACGGTGCCTCACCGACTTCTGCAGCATCGCCGCATCGCAGAGCGCCTCCTTGACGAGGTCCGGGCACGTGAAGAGCTGGTCGAGCGTGCCGAGGACGCCCGCCTGCTTCATCTGCGGACCGAGAATAGACGGTGGATTTCAGAAGCCAAACAAAAAGGTAGAACTAAATAGATAGACTTGCGTCTTATAAGTGGATGCAACCTGTCGAAGTTGGAAGTGGGCAGACTTTATCATCGGTAATTGGTCCTGGTCCTCGGATGTCAGGTGCTGATTGCAAACAATCCAACCCAAGAATTCAGATCATTCAGGAGGAATGGAACGAGCCTGAGTTTTGTTTCGAACGAAGACAACGGCAGTCGGAGGAGTCCCAGAGACGGGAGTCCTCGTTGAGGGTTGCTCTAGAGAATCCTCGAGAGTTAGTGATGTGGCGACTTGACCTGGGGCACAAAAACCGCTGCTGCAAGCTGTGTGTTGCTGATTCTGTGAATGATTCCGCATCTGCAGTCTTTGTCCATCTTCCCTGCTCAAACAAAGCTGTCGACAAATTATCAACGCCCCGCCCTCGCTCTTTCCAGATTTCAAGGTTCACAGCCAATCAAAACTCCGTGATTGCCGTCAAGCCCAAGCAATAAGAGCCGAACCCGCACCTGCTCCGAGACTGCGAACTTCGTCCTGACGTAGGAGGGTGCGTTGAGGTCCCGCCGGATGACCGTCCCGAAGAAGGGCTTCAGCTCGATGTCGAGCAGCGTCTTGTCGTCTTGGTCGGAGCACACGATGGCCGTCCACACGTACTTGGGGCACTGCTTCTCCAAGAACTGCGCGTGCAGCCGGTTGTCCACCGTCACCTGCGAAAGAAAGATTTGAAGTTCTCGGAAGAGGGAACCGGGTCGACAGCAAACGGAATAGAGTTGCTGTGGAGCACTAATTTTTAGGGACTGCGCGTGCCGCCGCTTGTCCACCGTCACCTGCAAAATGGGGGAGGATAATTTTGAGGCGCTCGGTTGATTAGAAACTGAATTGGGCCAATGGAATTCCAAAAACTGCGCCTGCGGCCAGATGGTCACCGTCACCAGCAGAGAGCGGGTGACGAGAGTTATGAAGCGGTCGGGGCCGGAAATGACATGAAGTTGGCGGTGAACTGCGCGTGCAACTGGTTGTCCACCGTCACCTGCGAACGAGAGTGTTGGAGTGGTCGGGACGAAAAAGCGGGTGGCAAGGAGTGATGGGAGTGGTCAGGTAACTTCCAGCGGTCAGCTAGGCAAAGAAACTGCACTTGCTGCCGGATGTCCATTCTTATCTGGCAAGATAGGGGGTACTTAAAGCTTCAAAGCGGTTCGGAGAGAGAACTGGATGTACAGATAAAGTCGACCAGTGGTGGCTCTCAGGAACTGCGCGTGGCCACTTGTTCACCGTCACCGGCAAGAGAGAGTGTTGGCATGGTCATCGGAAGGAAAAAGCGGGTGGTGAGGAGCTCTCAGAGTGATTGGCGGAGTGTCAGTGGTTCGTTAAATGTGTTGAAAGGCGGCACTGGATATTCACCAAGATTCTTTTCAGATGCGTGGACGAACGAGACGCTGCCACACCTCTTGCAAGACTGGCCCATAGACCGGTCCCTTGAGCTGAGGGCGCAGTTCGTTGAGTCGCCGCACAAGGTCGAAGATGCGGGAGTTGCCGTTACGGCTCAGCGCCTGCAGCCGCCGGCTCTTGGCGTCCTCCATCTGCTTGATCCTGTCGGAGCGAAAAACGGAGAGCTTAGCAATGGTTCCCAACTCACTCATGTTTCGTATAAGTCGCTCTTTCACTTTGAAGTCTCTTCTTGAACGGAACCGCTTGCGCTTCCGACCGTCTCAATAGAGTTTAATCGCTGATAAGAAGGGCAGAACTTAAGAAACGATCCAATTCCTTCAGGTAATCAGACTCAATACATGCAGTTGGACTAGGGGTCCACATCCGCAGTGCTTGCAGTCACAGTGAGTTGGTGCAAAATTCTGCCATAGCGAAGATGATACTGATCGCTGAAGGCACTGGGCTGCAAGTGAGAAACACCGGATAACCGAGCACCAAGAGCGGATTCGAGCTTTTCCATATGGTCAACCTCCCTTGTGCGTCAGACTCGTATCCTAGATCGAGCGGCTTCGTACAGTGAAACACTGAGGGAACAAACTCTCCCTTTCGTAGCAACTTCGAGAGTCGGAACGAGCCAGACGGGAATGATTCAAAGGGTTCTCAATCTCACTGTTGGTCCAGCCACGCCAGCTTCTGCATGTCGCCCCGCTTCGATTCCTCCGCCTCGCTGATCTCGCCGTGCTTCTCCCGGACTCGCGCCTCGACCTCCATGTACGGCGCCTTCAGAGCTTGCTGCGAGTATTCAGGAAGATGCCATTCGTCAGTCTCTTTTTGCTTAGAAGGCTGACACTCGAATCGTTGATTTAGTCTCGCCGTGCATCTCTTGACATGCGCCTCCGCCTCCATGTACGGCCCCTTCAGAGCTTGCTGCAAAAGAAAGGAGTCGCTGATTGAGATTCGCGCTGGTCAGAAACTAAGCAGTCTCGCTTTTCTATTGAACCGACCAGATTCCCCTGCTTACAATGTATCGTTCCTATCTGCTGCACCGCCCTCGCATTTTAGCACAAGGTTCGAGGGACCCGCTCAGTGCAAAGCGGACTTGAGAGCTTTGAACTCCAATCAGCCCTGTGGTCTTCCTGCAGGTGTATCCTGTAATCACCTCATCTTTGACGAACGATACAGACAGGAAATCGTACAGAGCGGAAGCAAGAGACGGGTGTTACTCACGAGCTCCTCCGTCTTGGGCTGGTACGGCGGCAGCTCCTCTAGCTCCTTTTCCACCGCCTCTAGTTCTTGTTGAGCCTTGTCCAGCTTCTCCAGCCGCTGCTGCTCTGCCCGCTTCACTCCCTCGATCTCCTTCTCCTTCGCATCCACTCTGTTCTCCTGTCCAGAGAGAAAATGTGAACGATTACTGCTGAACTTACGAGTAGAAAGTGCAAGATTTCTGCTTTCTATGTAGCTTCAGTTGTGCCAGCTACTAGCTATTTGCGGGTTCCATCTCTGTTGTCTTGATTCTGCTCGCTCCAGCTGCTGGCTTGATTACGGAGGGTATGGGAAGCTTGTTCTTAACGCAAGTTCCTTCGCCCCCTCAGATTGCACAATTCTCCGCTCGTTCGTTTCCGGTCTCGATCATAGTGACAGTCTGTTTTGAGCCGTAAAACTTCAGCAATTAGTACCATGTAATTCAAAAAAAGATGAACGCGAAGCAGCTCAAATCCGGGAGGAAAGTAGGCAGAAAAACTGCTGCACTTACGAGGTCCTGCGACACATCACCCAACTCTGTCCTCTTGGCTTCCAGCTTCCTGGCAGTATCCTGCGCTTTCTTGCTTGCAGCGGTCGCCGCAGCCTTCTCCGCCTTCTTTTTCCTGTGGAACGGCCAGGGAGCACTTCAGAAACAGACCGTTTTGAGCCCTTCTTTCCCCAAAAAAGTTGTGGCAATCTTCTTTGATCATGAAGCTTTGGCGCCGCCTTCTCACTATTTCTAGGGATACAACGAGGCGCGCATCTGGTAGTTCTCAAGGAGGAGAACCATTTAAAGAGACAGGGGAGCGTCCTTAATGACTGCAGCAACGAGGCAAATGCTGGTATTCTTACTTTCCTGAATGACAAAGATTGGTGCGAAAAGAAATGGACCAGCTTCTGCACAAACCGCTTCAGAAAGATGACGACCCAAAGTCGAATAATCAATTTTTACAGGAAGTTGAATCGAATCAAACGATTCGAACGAGTAAAGAGACCCTTACTCGAGCGGCGCCTTCAGGTGCTTAATCTCAGCCTCCTTTTCCTGCTTCGTAGCCTTGCTCTCCTGAAACGCTTGCTTTGCTTGCGCCATGTCCACCTTGGCCTTGTCAAACTCCAACCACGGCCGCTTCATGCTCATCAGGTTCGCCTGCTCGTGCGAGCGGACAAGCTTTTGGAACTTCGAAGTTTCTACAAGGTTTCTATGAAGGTGGCTTTGAGCACTGCCTGCTCTACTTCCTTGTGATTTTGTGAAAAGCAGTCAAGTGTGAGCAACAGCGTTGTATGACTTCCGCCTTGCAGCGAGAGAGTTGCACAAGCAATCCATGAAGTCTGATATAGAGAGAAGCGATCGATGCCAGCTTTAAAATATGGCCAGACGTTTGTGCTGGAACCTTCACAAAGCATGCGCCTCAAACGAGATGTGCCCGTCGAACTCATACAAATGAAGAGCAGTGCTCCTCATACACAATTGTTCCATGACAATAAACTGAAGACTAAGTCGGCGTGTCACAGACAAGATTGTGCCAGAATGTCCTCGAAAGTACTTATGAGGCATTAGACCAGTACCTGTGACAAACTATCACATTACGAGAAAGAGTTGGGACATGCCTATCTTGCATTGCAGGTATGCTCATCTCCTCCAGGGATCTTTACCCATGACAAAGCTATAGCACAGTAAAAGTGTGGAGACGGGCCAATGTTTGCGTTGCTGTCTTGCTCACCTCCTCCAGCTTCTTCTCCCGCTCCTGCATGCGCTCCACATCCGGCTGCAGCGACTTCTGCTCTCCACGCAAACGCTCGAGCTGCCGCTGGTGCTGCTCAACCGTCTGCAGAAGGGCCAATAGGCTTATCAGATTGGTTGAAATCAAAACGCACGTCGATTGCCGCTACTTCATAGAAGATTGCTGGTTTCCAGCGGCAGCCTGCAGGATCAAAAGGGTGACATGTGGAAGGCTTGCGTGTTACTTCGAAGTAGTAGATTAGACTTGAAAAGTAAGAGGAAAGGCTGACATGTAGAAGGCCTGGGGATAACTAGAAGCGGGGAACTTACCGTGTCAAGGCCCTTGACGTCCTTGGAGGCCTTGTCCAAGTCTTGATGCAGCTCATAAAGGCCGTTGTCCGCTGCCTTCTCCGTCTCTTCCAGTAACCGGATGGGGTCCATCTTTGCAAACTCGGACACCTTGTCTTGGGGTAGAAACTGCACGCAAAGTGACATGAGAGGAGCAACATGAGGACTGGCCTGCTGCTTTCGTATAAGCATTGAGCTCCTTGATTCTGATATCCGTACAACAGGGAAGCACTGGGTCATCGGCATTGGCAGTACTGCCTGTGCTTTTACGAGAAGATAGGCACAATAAATAAACACCATGGATGGACTTGAGTGTTTACTTTCAGGAGCAGTGGCAGAGGTCAACGAGGACGAGCACGCGTACCTGGCAGAGATTCCCAACTTGCAGGTTGAGCTCCTTAACCACACGCTTAACATCCTCCTGTCGGCAGTTCTTCCCTGCAAACATCATTTGGTGTGTCAAGCCTGAGACAATGTAGACAGGCAAGCCTGAAACAAGTCTGACTTCCGCGCTATTGAGGGCATAGTCCTGCTGGCCAGATCACATGGAGCGCGTTCTCAAGCCAAATCTCCTTGTAAAAGTGGTCATATCCTGTCCAAGAGTGGAGCCTCATCGCATGGGCCTCACCATTGAGTTGCCATTGGGAGTTGTTGTTCTTGTATATCTTGCGGTACACAGAGATCGCAGACCCTTCCTCTTTCCCCCGTAAGGTCAGCTTTACACTGCCCCATTCTGCGCCCCTCCGGACATAGTCCCCGACCTGTCCGGCCCGTCCGAGAAGCTGGAGGCAACCACACAACCAAATGATGAGCAAGACATGACGTGAGTGATCTGCACATGTTTTGTCTTGTAGTATCCTTCTCATTAACAATGTGACTCCCTTTACAATGTTAAGCTGGTAGTCGCTGAATACCATGCACGCCTGTTCAGTGACCCTTGCTTGAAGCTGTACCTCATGTTCAACCATCTTGTATGCGTGTTGGTCTTAACCAGCTGGTCTTCAAAACAAGATCCAATGCTCTTTCTCTTAGTCAGTCATAGGGCAGCAAGATGCTCGAGTAGAGTGACCGCAGTTTGCTCACATTGGGAGAGCCGGCAGTCCCCAGCGCAATGGCGCAGACGATGGAGCTCTTGCCCGTTCCATTGGGGCCGACCAAGAGGTTCAGGCGGGGGCCGGGGCAGAATGACATGTCCTTGTACGTCATGAAGTCCTTGAGGTCAAAGCGCATAATGGAACCAACCCGAAAGTCCTCCTCGTCGTCCCTGCAGCGGCAGTACAAGGGTTACAAGCTTTCGAGTGCCAGAATAACTCTATAGATTACTTTGCCAATCACAGGTGCTTGCATGATGCCGTATGCGCCATATGGAGCGCACCTATGATGCGACTTTGACAGGGATCCTGCCTCTTTCAAAGCCCTCTGCACACTCTTGTATACTCGAGGTGACAAGCAAGGGTTTCCGGCAGAGAAACGTCCTGTTTCGGAGCACGTGAAAAAAAAATCAGTCTTTCAACTGCTCAGTGGCCAGAGCAGGGTAAATTGCGGATTGCTTCCAAGGGGGAAGCCTTTCACGCCTCAAGCAACAACTTACGGTCGCGGTCTTTTCCCAGAACGAACAGGCGTAGATGGTTCTCCAGCCTCTTCCATGGGCACGTCCTCGTCCTCCATTGCACCGGACAGAGAAATCCTACCTCTCACTTCCTAGAGGATGAAGCTACAACAAATGCCACGCCACGACTGTTTGATCCAACTAACGTTTTTCCTGTCGCCGAATCGCAGTTTTGAGTCCTGTACCTCCGAAGCAACCAGGTGATCTTTAGCAGTATGGCTCCCTATCCTTCAGTGCTCAACAGCGCCCCGCTTCCAAGCTTCAGCGCCTCCTCTACCGCTACAAGCGAATTGGAAAATACCATAGGTAGCCCAAGGTAGCCATGAACGTACGCTTTCAGGACTCTGATTTTGAGGCTGGTTCACAAGCTGGACTCAGAATTTCGAAGATTTTTGGCGCGACACCAGTGCGGACCGTCCGAATACCTACGTGTTTATGCAA